TGTAGATATTAATGATTGGCAGGCTCATTACTTTTAAGGTTAACTTTTCGCTGGGAGTTGTGTTTAGTTAATGGTGTTGCTGAGATGAATTTGAAATTCTTCGAATAGTTCAGCCGAAACCCTCAACGTTTTCTGTTATACCCCGACAAGTAGGCGGGAAAAGACAGAGAGACGGTTTCTGATACCAGCTACTTTATTGTAGGTCAGTAGAGACAGTGAATTTCATAGCTCGTTAGTTATAGCTTATTTGTGGGACTCTGGCCGTTCTGGAACATTCCCGCCAATGGCGTGCGAGGAGCGTTCTAGAACATCCTGGCCTGTGTGCTGATTGGTCGATTCCCGCTCTGCGATAACCTGGCAGAAGTTCCGGAATATTTGGGCCGCATGTGTGAGCAGGCGTAACGCGTGATGGAAGCAACAGCGCATGTTGCTTGGCCGCGTATATGACTAAGCTGGCTTGGCCTATTGCGGTACCTGTTGTCATGTGATCTTTTCACCGTAGGCCGCATTGCGACTCCCGTCTCCGTAACATTTTTGATGATAGGGCTGTGGATAGGTTAGAGGATGGCGTTGCGGACTATCCGTCTTACAAATGACTTATGGGTCCTCTCTACCGCAGGTAAAATGACTTGAAAACCATCTTTTAATTATCAAATCCCGGCGCAGTTACAAGACTATCACGTCTAAAGCACACTGACTGCTTAAAAGCAGAAGGTCTGGCTAATTCTTCTTGTGCTCATTCTCATTCTTCATTGACCCATTGCTCTGCACCTCCCGCTCCTCCTCCCCTCCCCTTTTTGCATTCCCTTCTGTTCCTCCTCATTCTCATTAGCATCATCCTCACAGGTCCTTTAATTTTTCTATTTCATTAGTTCAGTACCTTCCCCGAACCTATCCTGTGTCTCCGAGAGCTGCGTTTTCTGGACGTCAGCAGCAACCAACTCACCAGCCTTCCCTCAGATATTCAAGCTCTCGGCAAACTGGGGGCTTTGCTTCTGAATGATAACCAGTTGAGTAGTGTCCCATTTGAAATTGGCACCCTAAGACAGCTACGTATATTCTGGATTGGCAACAATGCCATCAAAGCCCTGCCCACATCTCTGAATGGTCTACAACATCTTAATTGGTCCATGGTCAATTGTCCAAGCACCACACTGGAAGGAAATCCTCTCAGGTCTCCACCCATTAAAGTAAGAATTTTCAGCCGGTCCATTTTTTATTATTCTATCATTTTGCCATGTTTTCTTACTAGCGCAACTTACAGCAACGATGATATATGCTATGGGGATGCCATCATTAACCCGCGTTGCTGTCAGTTGACGTTCATTTTTTGACAGAATCGACAGTCTATGAGTACCATTGAAACACAATAGAGACACGGCATCAAGTAAGAAAGTTTTAGACAGGCGTTTCATCGTGATTGCAGCAACCCAGTATACCTCAACATCTTCCACGTGTGGGTTAGTTTTCTCGTCAGAGACCTGGACATTCAACTACACATTCTTCGAAAAAAGCTGAAGAACTGCACTTAAAACAGCAAAATTTCGTGTGGAACGTTCAGCTGAGCAGGAAGCCGAAAGTACGACTTCGAAAATCTCATGCCTGTCCAAAATGCATTTTGCCAAGTAGCTATAACCTTCAGCAGGCTACCTATAGTGGGTAAATATCTTGGGATTCAAACCTTATTTACAGCAAGTGTTGTGCATTCATTCGGTGATATCAAAATGGTACGTGCGTTTTCGGGGATTTTTTCAGTATGTAAATTAAAGTACTTCAGTTCATTCTTTTTAACTGGTGATCGACGAAGTAGTTTACAAGAAACTGTTTAACCTCAATAGTATATATTTTCAAAATTAGTATCCTAGTCGTTCAAAAATAACAAATAGCAAGTTCTTTTGTTTCATAGAAACCACTCGAGGAATTATGCGAAAATGCGGCATTCGCAATTTTTAATTTCGATGACATTGGCGAAGTGGAGTCCAAGTTCATGACCACTGAGCTCGGCGCCCGCTGTAGGTTAGCCAATAAATGCATTATCGAGATAGGTTAAGCCAACTGTTATGGTTCGGTGGTAGTACCTAACTTGTTTCGTCCAACTCTGAGCCTAGCTGAGATCTCATCCGGCCGACCACACGATGTCGCATAGTTTATAACATAACAATTAATGTAAGCGAAGAGGCAAGCGCCAGGAAGTAGTTGCGAAGAAGGAGTCACGATCACTGGAACAGGAGTTTTAGCAGCCTGACGTTTCGGATTCCCGTCTTCTACGACTGTCTAAAGAGATGGGTATCAGGGAGAATCTGAAACATCAGGTTAAAAAGCTCTTGTTCAGGCGGTTGTGTCTCCTTTTACACTATCGAGCAAAATTTTTAAATTTTGCCATCCTGCTGGATCTGTTAGGGTTACCTGTATTGAACAGTGAATTGCAAGCTAGAAATGTGGACTGGTTTGGCTTACAAAGACTTATAAACCTCAAATTACCATTCCAGATTTCTCATTTTGTGCAGAGTGGCATCTTTAAGCTAGTTGCCGTTATAAAAACGTGATCATGTAAAGCATAAAAATAGTAATAAACGTGAAGGTGTGATTCCCAGATGGTAAATCAGAAGAAAGAAGAGCATTCACCGAGAGAGGTTTATTGTAAGTCTGACGTTTCAGGTAGTGTTAGTACATATAACATGGGCTTGGCCGCAGATTGCGTCTTGCGCTCTCGGGACGTTGAACTAACAGGCTTGTTGGTCTAGGAGATTGCAGACAATAAATAAAGAGAGCGTCGATTTTGTTTTCTTTTTCCGACTTGACCTTTCCGTCATATATTCAGTTATACAAGAACTTCGTTCATTGTCTTTTCCAGTTCGCCATTTTGCATCATAGAGGCCCTTTCTCTGAAATTACCCTCGTGTTTTATATATCAATTATCTATGTGCTTTAAAGTGTGAGACTTGTGGGTCGGGTTCAAGTCTTTAGGTCTCCTGATCCTTAACAGTTACCGATTGATTTCTTAATGCGTCACATGTCTAAGCAGCTCACTATACTCCTGGCAGTAAACCGTCTCTGCCGCCGACTGTGGCAGTGAACTTATGTGGACAAGTATTAAAAAACACTTGCACATCCATATGGCCATTTGCATGTTTGAAACATGTTAGGTGTTTATGCAGCAAATTACTTCCTACAACATTCTAGAAAACTTCACCTCTACCAGACTGTTAATCCTGAACAGAATTATTCACAATAATTTGATCTCAGTAAGCCAAAAGACTTTAACAACCGTTTTTACGAACTAATCAGAACAATTCGAGTTCATCCTGCTTCATGATGACCATCAGTTTTGTACACTTCGTGTGTGTAATGAAAATTCGGGCTTTTCTTGGAGAAAAAGCATGTACCGATACAGCGGTAGTTACAGTACTTCCACTGATCTAGACTAAGGAGTATTTTCTGACAAGGGAATAAACACTTTGAAATTCTGTTTCTGACTTATTTGCTGTCTTCAACTCATTATATTTAAAACTCCGTCTGTCCACCAAAGGTTCGAAACTGAACTGCCCATCTCCGTCCTGTAATCAGGATAAACTGGTTGGTGCAACTCTCACGTAACAAAATATTCTCTATCTCAGACAACAGGAAGGAAGCCCTTGGTGCGGTAGTGGGAAGGTTGCTTCATAGCCAATTGATTCGGAATTCGAATCATAGGCCTACACGGGCTGATGACGACAAATACGACAGAAATGACCGTTCCACTTTCCCCTTCTTTGGCAGTAAACACTGCTCATTCCTTGATTGCTGATCGCCATGCTGCCGTTTGCATTGGTTGTAGAGCTGAACAGTTTTAAGATCAAGTAATAAAAGTCGATTTGCGTTCAAAAAGCAGGACAGATGACTTCACATCACCCTTATGTTCTGATCGGCTTTACTGAGTGTTTTCCGTTAAATATTCCTTATTCCTCTCAGCATGCAACTTCATGCTGCGATCTTGGAACGTCAAATGGTTATTTATTTGAATGTAAATCAGGAGGCTGTGATCTTCACTTTACCATCTTCTAAGTTTTTCTTGATTATTATCAGTGCAGCTCTCTTTTTATGTGTATTCTGTGCAGTATATGACGTGTAGGAAGCTATCCCGGTGCGCTAAAAGCTGTGGCTTGGAAAGTTTAAAAATGA